CCCCAAAACCCCAAAACCCCAAAACCCCAAAACCCCAAAGCAAGCAGAGAACAATATATTATTTCTTAATAAATATATAATAAAAATGAGCATACTTGGATTCATATGAGTTCTCTTCCTCATGAGTATAAATGCCGCCCAATCAAGTCAGCCAAAAGATGAGATTGCGCAACGAAAAAAGATACCCAATATTGGTAAGCATACTTCAACTCATTCTTTAGTGGTGCAACAACAAGAGGTGGTGAGGTTGAACTTAGGCGATTATTATAGTGGGTCCTTCCTTGAGCACAGCGTGGATGTACAAGGCCCAAAACGGAATATCTCTGATAGGGATGTAATCCAAATCACACAAGGATTTGAAGTGTGGAGTAGTTTTACCTATAACATGGGTCATCATACAATGTCTCTCCAAGACTCTATGAGGATGATTCTGATTAAGGAGGATAACTCTATTACTAGGACCTTCTTGTTTGTAATCACCGAAGATTACCTGATTTATACAATGGATTTTACTACTATTGATATTGGCTTTAAGCCTAAGACATCAGAGTCTTATGACCTCTGGCCACATATTTATAAGATGACAGGATGGTTTACCAGAAAAGATGAGACATACTGAAATGGTCTCAATAATGTCAGCATGCAAGATAAAAGTAGAACCTATCTTTTAGGGTGAAAATACAGAGATATGAGCTTTATGATCTGGATAAGCCTTTCTTTTACTAAAAAGGGCAAGTTTTCAATTAATGCTACTCCTCAGAAATCAGATTTTGCCTTTGATAAAATTGGTCGAAATTCATTATCCAGTGTCTTTCTCAATGGCCTTCTGCATATATTCTGAGCTACAGGAGATAACAGAGACAAGCTACAAGTCACTGTTTATAAAACAGGAGATTTAGAAAATTTTGAAATTGAGAAGATTCATAATGAGAACATCACTTCTGATCCATTTGTGAATCCGGTAACAGATGAGAATTTGTATTCATTTAATCTGAGAGAGGTAGTGTACCTTTCAAGTAGTTATTTCGAGAATGTTGAGGCTAACACTGATGAGATTACCCACCATTTGATAATCAGTTGATACAACAATGGAGTAATCTTCTTCAAGATTGATGGCTTCTCAGGAGGGAATGTAAAGCTAAATCTTACCTACAACTACAATATTCCTAACATTGAAAGTATTCAGACAGAGAAAGAATTTTTAGAAATTGACGGAAAGTTTACGTCTTTTAGTTTCTTTACAAGTGTACCTTCTCCTCCCAAAGTATATGAATTTCAGATAGATTCGAACCTTAATATCAACATTCACAAGATCTTTAGCAGTTATACTGATGAGTTGAGGTATGTGTGCCACAACAGAATTACGACCAACAAAGATTATGTTGCTCATTTAATTTATGATAACAAACTTCAGAAGCAGGTGATCAGAGTATATAACAGGAATGAGACTAATTTTAATCTTGGTCATGTCAACATTGTCCTTGACAAATACTATTCACAGGTTAGTAGTATGACCTTCCTTTCATTCAATAAATGAGAGAAACTTTTTGTCAGAAGTCCAGAAAGATGGGATATCTACAATATCATGCCCAAACAGCTCCTCTTCGACAGCTTCAACTACGCAGAAGAATATGAAAATTATATAGGCAATGAGTATAACGTCGAAATGAAGAGCTACAACAGTATAAATTCATCTAACTATTTGTCTCAGTCGTTTAAACTATTCTGAATCAACAACAATTACACTGGTGCATACTTCATAAGAGACAGCAACTCAATAAGCTACAATTTTTCCTATGGAAGTCCGTACTTTGAGGTTCCTATCTCAGATTTCTATGTCGGCCCGAATCTAAAATTCAAATCACAATATATTTCAGCAGAAAATGACGACAATATAACTTTGCCAGATGTGATTAATCCTTATGACGAAACCTTATTTGCTTTTAAGCATTTAGAAGATTGTCGAAGAAACATATTCAAAAGGTTCAAGAACTCAGACACTGGAGAACTCATGATTTCCTTCTTCTGCATTAGCAACAACACTATTAAGCAATATATTTACTTTGCAGAAAATATGACAGAGTATAATGTTCAAGATGGCCAGAAGGGAAGCACAACTGTCAAGTTTCCCCATTCACAATTTATTGACCTCATTATTTCGAAAGATACTTATAAGTACCAGCGCTATGAAGACCTTTTGATGGTTCTTAGTAAAGACAGGACCACGAAGAGGTTTGGAATTCTCGAAGAATTTCACTATGCAATCCATATCTTTGATATTGACCAAGAGTTACTTGTCTGGGTAGACAAGATAGTAATTTCAGACCAATTTGGTAAGCACAACGGCTATTCCTTTTTATACTGACATTGTAACTAACCTCTGGTATAGGCGGGAATGAACTCAGGGATGTTAATCCTCTAATAAAGCTAGATAACTCTCCGTACATGATCCTTGTAGGTAAAAATGAGAAAATCCTGTACTTTATTACAGATGATACTGAGAACAGGATATTTACTAAGTACAAAACAAAAGATCGTGTATCTTCAGCTTTCCTATACGATAAAGATAAGGTTTATATTACTTATTACAACTTAACCAAAGTAACAATCTTGCATATTTTGGAGGCTCCATATGAAAGCAAGAAGATGGAATTTGGCGAGAATCAAGTCACTGGCAAATTACAGATTACAGTATTTTATGTTTGAGACTCTGAAACTGACTTCGCTTACATATCTGCTAATATTGGAAATGATGGAGTCTGTATTTTCCTAAACAATCCTAATTTTATTGATATCTACACAATCAACAGAGTTTGTGAATTTCAATTTGAGAGGCAGTTGCCTCTATACACAGAAGCAAATAATACAAAATTCTGGGAGAATAGTCTCACAGGGCAGCCCGTTCATGAAAGGAATGGGAATCATTTTTACATAATCATTGAAAAGGATGGAAATCAGAGAGGAAAATTTCTGTACATCTACGACCTATTCACATTTGCTCACAATTCTTTGGTGACAAAAGTATTGCTAAACCCAGGCCTCCACGAGAGTGACAATTTCCTATTCATCGATAGTATTGAGACGTATTCCACCATCTTTATCTATATTTTCTACGGGACTGACCAATACGAATTTTTCGAAATAGAGCCAAAGAATTTATTTGTCAATAAACCTGAAGAGGTGAACAGATGGTTCTTGTCTCAGAGTGATATTGAGAGAAACGTTTATCCAGAGAAAATTTTTGGATTCCTTATTTCACCAGAAAATCTTCCTAAAACATCTCAGAATAGATTGGACAGACTCAAACTAAGAGTTGATTGTAGCAATACAGGATTGAAGATTGATAATAAGCTAGGAAAGAGGACTCTCAGTTACACCCAAAATGAAGGAGCTTTGAGACTTTCTTTGTCTGATATGTTCGATGGTTTCAATATTTCATACAATGTGTATGATCCTAACAGCAAAAACAGCTCTGATCTTCCCTGAGAAGTCACTAAAAGCGAGGAGAAATTCAACTGGCTGATCCTGGATTCGGTAACTCAAGACAGATGGGTAGATAGCGCATTTGTTTTTGAAAACTTGACCTTTGTTATTTTTAAGGAACATAAATTCTTGAAAGACCAGGAAATCACTAAAATAGTAAATTCACAAGGTGAGCATTTTATAATTCGAGTCTTTTCGTCCACATTTCTTTGTATCAAGCCGATTAGTGACTTTCCTAATAAAATTATAGAGTTCTCAGTGTACAATATGACCGAAGAATTAGGTGTCTCAACTCTTTATAATTTCTCAACATGGCTTGATGGATGTGAAGTTGATTATATGACATATGCGGATCTCACAACATATGATGTTATGAATGAAACTCAAAAAGACATGCTAAATCTGAATGCAAGCGTGGTAATTGCAAATTGTTTAGTAAATCGAGAAACAATATCTCCCTCCTACCAAGTAAGAGTATTCATGCTCTCTCTTGTTGAGAAAGAGGGAGTCCTTACCCCCATGGCTACAGAAGTATCAAATATCTTCATAAACAGAAGGGTGAAGCAAATATTCATTGAAAAATGCCCGGTTATTATCAATAAGTTCAACATAGTCATCCTCACAAAGACAGAGGCTGATTTTAACACAGTCGTCTTCATTGTTGATATGAGATGCGAGGAGAAAAATAACTGCACATTTGTGAAATATTATAGTATTGATGGAGTTTCACTAAGCTTAGACCAGTTTGTTGTAAATTCAGTATTAATCATTCCAAACAGCACCTACTTCATGCTCTCAGTCGACAATCTAGGAATTGTTATCATTGATATTCTTTGGATGGAACTTGCAGAGCTGATTGAGTTTAAAAATATGGAAGGCATCAAAGATGAATTTGAGATCACAAACATCATTCCTATTTCAGATAATGGGATCAGGGTCATGCTCAAAGATATAGGAGAGTTTTCACTCTTTTGGGAAGCAATTGTGCCAGATGTTATCAACAAAACAGTTTTGCATAATTTGCAAAATGCAAACCACTTTATATCACTAAAGAACCAGATCTCAACCAATATTGTAGATTATTCAAAACAGTTGATCGTCCAGCTAAATTATTACACTAGAGAAGATGGCTTCTATGATGGAACATTTAGAGTTTACAATCACATGAACCGTGATCGGTCTAAGGTATACAAAGAGTACAAAATAGGCAAGGTTAGATACTGCTCCTTCCTTAATTATGCAGAGAAGTTTCATCGAGTTATTGTAATCTGAGAGTCAAAGCTTTATGTTTACTATATTCCTCCTTATCCTTATATAGAAATTGGAGGCAAAGGAACTAGTTATAATATTGATCTAAATGTTGAAGCTTTTAACTTATACTCTAAAAGTCTCATGAAACTATCAATTAATGGAACAGATGAAGAATTAAGGCCTTCTAACTGGGCTACATTTGGTGTATTCTGTGCACTCTTCATATCTCCCTTCATACTTATCAGAATCGGCTTAGCTCTAATAGCCTTAGCAAAGAGAGAAAGAAGTGATTCCTCAGATTCAAATCCTCTAGCCCAACGAGCTCAATCTTTTAAAATGATGTAAGTGATTATAATAAATATAGGCGATTACACAGTAATGTTGAATTAAAAAGGTAATTCTTAGTCTAAATCTTTATTAGATACCGTTCTGATCACACAGAATCCCCTTTCCATAGATTTAACAACCAAAGTAAATACCATAAACTAGTTAATGAAGATGATTTCCCTCAGAACAGGACTCTCGATCGATCAGATCTCGATAATCTGCATAAAGATTAATTGGATAAATATTTTATCTTAATATCTAGATTTCTGAAAGTATGCTGGGGTTTTGGGGTTTTGGGGTTTTGGGGTTTTGGGGTTTTGGGGTTTTGGGGTTTTGGGGTTTTGGGG